TATTTCGTATTTAATTTGTTTTCACTGATTTTTGACAGTTTGAATGTAAAATATAGGAATATATTTTGTAAATGTAAAATATAGGAAAATATTTTCACTGAATCATTCCTTCAGCGAAAATAGCGAAAATGAATTCCAAGTGAAAATAAAGTAGTCTACAGCATTTTGATATTTCAATATACAGCAAGTGTGATTTTTAACATCGCTTCTATTGGAGATAAAAAAAATCATAAATTGATTTTGAGGTGATATTTGCATAAATATTAATGATATTTACATGCTTACATGTACTAATGCATACATAATATTATTTGCAGACATATTTATATATATATTTTCTTTATACAGGTTAAAAATAAGTTGGATGGTCGAGAATATGCTGTGAAGAAAATAAAATTGAAAGATAACAATCCGGATATGTGTTTGAAAGTATGTATAAACCCAGAATAGGTGATTTTCTGTTCACCTTGAGATCTTGTGTATTGCGTGAATGGCGCAGACCGAATGTCTGCAGCAAAAATTAAATAATTTGATTTTTAACTTGAATTTCTTTTTTATATAGCTCAATGTTCAAATGCTAATCTTTCAGAAGTGAATATAGCACTAAGATAGCCTTACTTCATAGCGCATTGTTAAGTGTGGAAATACCGCCAAAATATTTTAGCATTTGATGAATCCCACACTTGTTTTTTGACACCACTACATTTCTATGACCTTTGTTTATCGCACTTTTTATGTTTGATTTCACACGAAATGCATATCTCGCATTAAACAAAAAGTGGTATTATATAGAGATTATATTTTTACAGTTGCATGTTGTATATTATAAAGCCTGAGTATGTTTGTTATTCTGGGATATAGTCCGACCTAAAGTGTCACATGAACTGTTATTTCTAACTGTTTTATAATCATTTTATTTTTGATTTGTGTAGATTTTGAGAGAAGTGCGCCTGTTAGCCAGTATGCATCATGGTTGTATTGTTGGTTATAATGCTGCCTGGTTAGAGAGAATATCACATAGGAAAATACTAAGAAGTCACTCACACAGCCCACATGCTTTGCCAGCCTTAGAAAATCACTCAGACTCGCATACTAGGTAATTGACCACAATATTTTTAAGACTTGTGATCGGTCCACTCACCTATTACTCACTCTAATCAAGACCCAGAATAGATAATTGTCACTCTTCCCTATCCATACCATTTTGAAATTTTAATAGTATAATAATATTTTATTGACACAACACTGACACAGAAGGGTACATGGTCTTTAAAAAAAGTATAACTAAAACATACAAAATACAACACGACTAGGAACAATAAAACTACAAAAGCAAGAAATAAAGGTTAAGTATTTCTTGAGAAATAGAAAATCACATTTGTTGTATACTACCGAAAAATCTGTATTAGAAGCCGCATCCCTAATGGAAGTCGCACCCATTCTTTTTGAATAATTGACAACCAAAAATTAAAAATGTGTAGATGCTCTAATGGTAGCCGCATCCCATCTGTTACATTGTACCATTTAAATAGAAACTGTGGCTTCTAATGCAGATTTTACGGTAGCTGGTAAATCATCAAAATATTATGTATTTTGGCCATAGAAACACCTCTGTAATTTATGTAAGAGCTTGCGCTACTAATAGTGCAAATATGGTAAAGCAACGTTTATGATATGACTTGCCCTTTGCTATTTCTCTTTGTTGCTGCAATGTTACATTGGTTTGAACTTTATAATGTGTACAAAGTAGGTTTCCCACTTTACAATGTTAGCTATACAACTGGCAGGCATTTTGTTATCAGAAATAACCATTCCCAAGGTGAACACAAACAAGTGTTGCACATACATCACACAAGATAGATGCAATTTCACAATCAAAGTGAATTAAGAGTGTCTTTCTGGGTCAAATTATGTCACTAAGTGATACATGTGAAAATGTTACTTTTTGACCCCAAAACCATACTTTTTTTATTCACAAATTCAAAAGCCAAAATGATGTACATATGTATGCTTTTACGCTTCTGTGGTGAATTTCATTACAATATTATTACACACATACATTTTTAACCTTTTTTGAACAAAATTTGACCCTAAAACACCCACAGATCAAAAAAAAAAAAAGCAATTATGAGGGTGTTTTAGCCATTGACTTGATGACTTGTTTTTCAATGATGGAGATGTTATATGATGATGTTATAAAATTTGAGTAAATTTTCAGTTTTTACTCGAAAAATTTGTGTCCAATCTTTGAAGGATTGTGCAGTCTATAATCAGGACTATTTTGTGAATTTGTGTGATGAAGAGGGAACTGGTGGTGACAAGGTTAAAACTTGCATGCAATAACTAGTAACAACTATGGGCAAATGTAAATCTTGTGTTCGGTTGGGTTGATCATTTTGTTACATAGTGTTTTCCTCATTCATTATGACATTGTTTTTGTAGCTCTGATGGTATCATTTTTGAAAGAGGATCACAGCATTCAACAGTGTTTATCTCAACGTGTGAAGAAAAGTTTGATAGCTCGCATGAACAAATTATTAATAATAGGGGATCCATTGATAGTTCTGACTTGAGTACTAAACCGGAGATGTGTAATTCTGAAGACAGTTTTGAAACTCCTGTGAATTCGCCATCTGTTACAAGTGTCTTTCACTCGGCTATGGCGTCACGAGTGGATACAGTAAAACTGGAATCATCCGCCGTTGAATGCACTTCATATGCGAAGAGTATTCACATTATAGACAGTGCACAACTCTCGACCCAAGCTTGTGAAGCAATAATCAGCGAAACGAGGATTCATATTAAAAACACTAATGACATTACTGAGTACTGTTGCCATGGTGACGTTGAAAGGGACGCTAATTCTATGCAAGATTGTAAAACTACTGACTGTGTTGTAAATGATATCATCACCGGACGTCCAATGAACAGACACAACATAGAAAGGCATGTACATTATGGGAATTGTACCGACTCCGGTTCAATGCATGATAGTTGTAGTTGGGAACCGGAGAGCTGTGATCATTATCCGCAGCACAAAAATGAAGGTTATTATTCGGATGATGGCGTCAATTATGATGGTACTGTCAGCGAGTTTAATCAACTGGTAAGATTGTCTTCATTGTCTTCCAATCATGGATTATTACAAAGACACAAAAGATCAATTTTAAGAGCCTTAGAAGACTGTATAACACTATATTCCAGTTTATATTAAAGTTGCATGATCCAATGAAAATCAAAATATCATAGAATTTATATCAAAGTTGCCTGTCTTTGTGTTTTCTTGTGTCTTTGCACCAATTTTGTAATCAGATAAACATTTTAGTGAAAACACTAATCCAATACATTGATAATGCAAACTTGAAAAGAAGCATTTAGTAACTTTCTTTGTTTTTTGATACGTATTATAATTAATTTGTGTTCATGTTTATTAATTTAATCTTATTACTCAGAGCCCAAAAAATTGTAATTTCTTTACGGTGATAATAAAGTCTTATTGTATTGTATTGTATTGTATTGTAATGAGCTACATCATAAACTTTTGACACAAAACATATTTGTTTTGTCAAAGACATAAAATAAGTGTCAACATTGTTATTAGTTTGCTCTATACTAAATAAAATGAGACCGTATATGCAAATTATGATTTTTATAATTAGTCAGTGATTGTTTTATTTCCACTTTTCAGAAATATGGTATTATGTTATTTATTCAAATGCAGCTTTGTTCCCACACATTGAGGGAGTGGTTGGTGGAAAGGAATACATCTGTCTCTCCCACTGCAGGTATTGTAGCACTTTCCTACTCAAAAATAGAATGAATAGGAAAAGTTGAATACCTCCGGTAATCCTTAGTGATATAAAGTAGTGTTGTGTAGGTTGCTTGAAGATTGACAGAAACTAAGCTAGATTATTTTCAAGTTCGTTTTTGTTTCAACCCTTTCTCAACCAGTTCTCTCTTTTCATCACAAAATAGTCCTGTTTATAGTCTGCACTTCTCTTTCAGAAAATTTGAATAGCCAAATAAAAAGTAAAAAACTGAAAATTAACTTAAATTTTGTCTGTTGTCTCCAAAATTAGGATTCGTTTCCTTAAATACTGAAGAATATAAGAAAAAAGTGCCGAATAATTTGGATGAGAAAGTCTGGTGTTGAAAAGGTTAAATGCCGAGTCTAAATGCTGTGGGGGAATCCACATGATTAGTTTTGACGAATATGGATGAAACTTATTACAAATCTATTCTGATTGCAAAAGCATCTTTGTTTTAAGGAAATGTGGATAGTATCAGACGAAGAAAGATTTTACAGCGAGCACAAGATATTTGCATACACCTAACTCTTGCACCCGGCAGGTAATTACCGAGGGACTTTGCAACATCCCCAAACACATTGCTAAACACTCCAACGACCGTTGTAGACGCAATAAAGTTGCATACACGCCTACGTGACAATTATTCAAAACAACAGACCAGGGTTTTCAGATGGTCAAACATTTATCAAACAATCATGTTTTAATCATTGTTGATATCGGACACTTTATTATTTCATGCATACATGTACATATGCTCGTTCATTTAAAGGGCGGCAGTCGTCGTGCCGCGTCCTGTTCGATATGAGACTCATAGCAACGTATAAAACGCGTGTAAAATATAGTGTTTATTTACATAAAATTCGAACACGCGCTGCGCGACGACCACCACGCTTTAATACATTCTATTTTGAACGTCTCACGATTTCTGATTTTGAACAATTATTGCTATTATGTCAAAGCGTTTAGACAAAGACACTGAGATGGAGATTATTCGCCTCTTGCGAATGATCAATGGCGAAGGAAGTTAAACTAACGAGGGCAATGGTTCAAGGGATTGTGCGGCATTTCTGTCGCATCGGTTGAAATACGTTTCGAAAGTAGTAGTGGCGGTCGTCGACTGAATGTTACACAAGAAAAAGTTTATCGAATTTTGTCTGCGATCTGAAGGGTATTTGAAACTGGTATATGGTGACAGTGTGGAGGTGAAATAAAGTGGAATATTCTAGGGAAAGATTGTCTGGGCGATGAGTGTTCTGGCAAACTGGCAATGGGACCAGCCATTATGCGAGAAATTGAACGAGACACTCACAATGCTAATAATATTAATATAAATCCATTTAGAACATCTCAACAAACTACAAATCAAAAGAATTTATATTTATCATTTCTTGTTAATATTCATTCCCAGTTTTAGTTCCTATTATATTTCTCTCAAGTGTTACACAGCAATGATTTTTGTACCTACAAAGCAATGGAATAGTCCAACTATCCCTCGTTCTTCGTGGCGAAACATCAAAGGCATTCCGCATCCAGTGTTTTAATTAACTGTCACGTGAGTGGATATGTAACTTTATTGCGTCTACAACCGTCATTGGAGTGTCTAGAGAAGTGTCTGGGGATGTTGCAAAGTCCCTCGGTAATTACCGACTGGGTGTGGGAGTTAGGTGTATGTAAATATCTTGCGCCTGCTGTAATCAACTTATTTTTAATGTTTCAAGTTCTGTTCTGAGCTGAGCTTTTCGGACAAATGTTTGAAAGAAGGATATGGTTTACAATAGTGTAGTTTAACTTATTTAATAAACACCGTTTGACAGTTTCAATGTTTTTTCTGTAATGTTTGTTGTCAAAATATTTCAAAGATCCAGTATACGATAAATTGATTCATGTGTGCTTCTGTAATAGAGCAAATCACTGTCATGTAATTTTGTTTATTATTCAGATCCTTTCTCGGTAGTTAATGAAGAGACAAATATGGGAATATTTAAGCAAATCTTAGAAGGTGTCAATTACATTCATTCTCAGGGATTGATGCACAGAGATCTGAAGGTAAAGTGTTCTTTGTGTCGTCACAGGAAGTGTTGGCTCAGCACAGACCTGTGTCATATGATGCCATACTAGCCGATTTTGCCTAAAATTCTGCCTATTTACAATTCTACCGTCTATTTACACTAGTGTTTATACATGGAACTTGATACATCTTTTTAAGTGGCTTTTTAATCACATATTTTAGTGAAATATTAATGTCATACACAATTCAATGTTTGCAACAGCAGAAACTATTAAACACATAATAACAATAATAAAATTTGTGTTAAAAATTTCCAGGGTAATTTCAGGTTTCAACTAGCTTGAAATAGAATGTCCATTAATGAAATGAAATCATGTGTAGAACGCCTTGTAAACCAGGAACTAGCAGCGTAAACTGATAGCAGTTTTATATAATTTGGAGACCAGTTTATTTCTACAAGTTTCAAGAAATCACAGAAATGTTTTATTATATCCCTAAAATACTTGCAAACAGACAAATTGAATTTGTTATTGGAGGACCTTGAAATCATTTGCTGTCTTTGCTACAATGTCAGCCACAAGTCCACATTAATTCCCATATAATGTTTTTTAGTCCCCGTTCGGACGGAGTCCGAAAACGGGGACTCATGTTTTGCCCTGTGTGCGTCCGTCCGTCCGTCCGTCCGTCCGTCCGTGATAGCGGCCATTTTAAGGCCGAAAATGCATCAAAATCGCACATTTTCACCATTCCGGACCCGGATCTCAGTTATGCATGGACGGATTTCATTCAAATTTGGTACATACATTAAACATAATAGGACCTTGATGCACGTCATTTTTTTTTTCGGATCAAGTTCGAAATGGCCGACTGGCGGCCATTTTGTTTTAAAGAATTCAGTTCTGGATCCGTATCCGAGACATGTCTGGATTGATCAAGTTCAAACTTCACACACACAAGGTACATCATGTCACAAATATGTATGTGCATTTGTTTCATGATCCCATTAACGATAGCCAAATGGCGGCCGCTTTAAGGCCGAAAATG